GCACATGCTAGTGGTATTGGAGACATGAGGCCTTTGGGGAAAGGTTGGGTCTTGAATGGCCTGATGTGTCTGCGAATTAATGAATTCATGAGTTGCTGTAGAAACTCCTCTGTTGTAGAAGCCCTCCCTCTCATGTTCTGCTTTACAAAATGGGGCCCTCTGCATGTTTTGATGCAGCCAGGAGGCCACCATCAGACTCTGGTGCCACTGTCTAGTCTTTCTAAACCATCCAGCAATGGAAAATGGACTATGGCACCATGTTACTGGGTCTCTCTGCTATGAGGACAGAGTTGATGAAGTTTCTGCAACCAGGCCCTGCACAGGTCCCAGAGCAACCTGCAAGCCCATGACCAGTGCTCAACAGCAGCTGTGGCTGAGAGAAGATGATGGTCTGGCTTGGTTTCCCCATTCTATATTCCCCACCGCCCTCCTGCCTGGAGTCAGTGTCTTCACATCTTACCAGACAGACTGCTGGAGTAGAAAAACCAGGTTAGGCATCTTGGCATCTTGTTCTTTTTCTTCCACGTGATGCAGTAACTCGTGAGACCTCACAGTTGGCCAGGTTTGCAGAAAAAGAGAAAGCTCAGTCAAACAGGACAGCACATTCTAGAGAGAAGGGGAGGGCAGTTCAGAACAGGGAGGGCAGCTCAGAACAGGGAGGGCAGTGCAGAACAGCTAGCACAAGGGGAGAGTGACAGCTGAGCAGAGAGGGTTGTGGAGAACCCCTGGAATGAAGGAGAAACTTACATGAGGTACTGAGAAGCATAGAGGAGTACAGGGGGCTGGGAGGCCTAGCTTCCAGCATGGCCCTGCCCTTCGCTCTTTATGGCCAGTGGGAGGTCAGGGACTTCCCTCTCTGAGCTCCAAGGTCTCAGCATCTGCTCTCTTGCTTCCTCTATGCTCTTCGCTCATTGGTTCATTCTTTAATTCTACAATATTTCTTGAACAACTACTTTGTGATGCTGTAGAATTTGGGGACTCAGCAAGGAACCAGAAGTGACAAAAGCCACATTATCATATCATGCTGATCCTTGTATGAACAGTAATGAAACCAGTAAAATATATGATAAATTAGTTTGGGATAAGGAGAAAAAATAAATAAACCAGAAAAGGAGGAGAGGAAGCCTATTCTGATAAGGTAGTTGTGACAGTTCATTTAATTATCAACTTGATACAATCTAATCACCCGGAAAGAGAGTCTTACTAAGGGACTGGCTAAACCAAGTTTGCCTGTGGGCTTATCTCTGGGAAATGATCTTGATTCATTAGTTGAGGCAGGAAGACCCACCCACCATGGGTGGCACCATTCCCTGCACTTGGGTTACTGGACCGAACAAAAAGGAGAACGCTGGATGATGACTAAACACGCGTGCATTCATGCTCTCTCTTGACTGAATGTGGCTGGGGTTTCCTGTCCCTTGGTTTTCCTTCAACGGTGGACCTTAAGCTGGTTTCATGAACTAAAATAACTCCTTTCTCCCATCAGTGGCTGCTGTCTGAGTATTTTGCAACAGAATTCGGTAACGAAACTAGGACAGAAATCTCTGAGTCAGCACCTACAGAAGTGAGAGAACTGGGAGGTCGCTCGGCCAAGAGCTCCCCAGCCAGAGGGGCTTCCAAATGAAGAGCAGGCTGTGAGATGAAACCTGTGGGCCTCCATCTTTTACACCCTCCAGTTGGCCCCTCAAACAGGGCTCCCCGCTTCACCTCAGCTCTGTGGTCTTTCCTTCACACATAGCTGGTCAAGATGACTTTCACATGTGAGGCAGGCGCCATCACTTCCTGCGTAAAAACCACCAAGTGCTCCCCACGCTCAGGACAGATGGCCAAGTCCGCAGTGTGGTTCTTCAGCAGGTCTCCAAGCTGTGCTTTTGTCCTTGGCCCCATGTACCCCTCCCCAGTCACACCGGCATCACTGCAAGCCCTGGGCTATCCCAGCAAACCTTAGCCTTGAGTCTGGATATCTTCCACATGGTCATCCTGTGGGGCCTCCCAGCTCCTTTAGATGCCACCCATACAAAGCTAAGTCCTGCCTAAGCTGGCCCCTCCCACCTTCTATCTCCTTGCTGGGTTTTCTTTTCACCTCCCATCAGTTCATGAGCTTGAGACAGGGGCTCTAAGAAGTCAAGTGTCTACTGTATACTAGGTACCCCTTAACAACCCAGAATTAATTCATCTTCTCCCAAACTCCATGAGGATGCTCATATATATTAACCACGTTTTGTAGATCAATATCTTGAGACTCAGAGAGGTTGGGGAATTTGCTTCAAGTCTCCCAGCTGGTGAGTATCAGAGCGGAGCCACACCCTGGGGCTTCCACGACCAGCCACAGCACTCTGGCCCACAGCAGGCAGAACTCTGCCACGGTGGACACACCTATGCATGTGCTACCTTTTATGGCATATGTGACCATTGAGCGTTTGAAGTGTGTGCTGCCAAGGAAGCACACCTTGAATTAGTTCACTCTTTTTTTCCTTTCAATTAGACAGTCAGGCTGGTGGCTAGTTCAAGGCAGAGGCTCAGAGCTCCTATTTGCTCCCCTGTTCTTGTCTGTCACATAGGCATGGAACTGCCCTGTGCTCCGTCTCGTCATCTTTGTGGTATGCTGCGGTGAGTGTCATTGGGAGACTAGTTTCACCATCCATGGAAATATCACAATATTTATGTTATGCAATCTATGCACATCCTCTCATGTGCTTCAAATCATCTCTGTATGACTTGAACATTTAATGCAATGTTAACAATACAATCATTAACTATATGGTTTAGAAAATGTCAATGAGAAAAGGTCTACATGTCTGTAACACAGATTTAATTATCTTTTGAATGTTTTCAATCTACAATTTTTTGACTCTATTGATACCGACCCATTATACTAAGAAGATTGAATACATATATATGTACATGTATGTGTGACATAATCACTATTACACATACTGTATAGAAGTATAAGCTATAGTTCTATATACTATAAAAGATTATATATAATACATATATAATAGACACACAGACATGGCTTAAGGTTAGCCTGGCACAAAGTAAATATAAATGCTAATTAATTATCCATTATTACCACCCGTTAGGCCCTTTTAGATCAACAATATTGTTTTCTTCACTCCTGCCTATTACATTCTTTGGCACAACGCAGATGATTAACAAATGTTTGTTTAATGAATGAGTAAGTGAGCTGAACTAAGCATGGGGCTTTGACAAGGTCACAGAGGCATAATGGCAATGGGTCTTCTGGGAGCCCAGCAAGGAGCCTAGCTGAGGGAAGAGTGCTCATGGCCTCATGGGTCGACTGAAGACTGAGACAAATGGAAGGAACATGGTTTCAAAAGAATTTTCTTGGGATGGGGCAGGAAGGAACACTGTGGTCCAAACAGAACATCCATAACTAAAAGATGCCTAAGGCTACCACTGTGGAGCCAAGACCCTTTAGGACCCCATCTCTCTATAATGGAAGCCTCTGGATCCATTTCCCAGGGTTCAACTCTAAGCACGACACTGTGTTGATGGACATTGTTGGTGTGTAAACTATCTAACAATATTTGTATGGGAAGCAGGTAACAGAACTAACAACAGTGACTAGCAAAGCGCCTCGCATGATGCCCTGTGTCTCTTGTTGGACAAGGTTAAAAGTTCTGAAGGACACACCTGCAGTCAACCCAGAGTGTGCAAGTATCATTCCTATTCCTTGAATAGAGAGTAGGAAAACAGTAACCACTTACATTACCCTTTCTTCCTCTTCCACACATGTTCAGTGTGCTTCTATAACTGACAGGTTCATCCACGTGACTGCCACACAGTCAGGCACTTCACTCAACACAGTTTACCTCCATTCACCTCCCAGAGATGCAGATGTGAGCTTCACTCTGAGGCTTAGCGCCCCAGCATGAGTCACACTTGTGCCATCTTGAGTCCCTCACTGCCAAGTAGGTCATGGGGTTCCTGTTGATGATTTCAAATCATTCCAACTTAAAAAAAAAAAAAAAACTTCATCTTTCAGCAGTCCTCAGTCAGAGCGGCATGAAGCTCTTGCAACCAAAAGACATGGTTTGTTCAGCTCACATGGTATCTATCTATCTATCTATCTATCTATCTATCTATCTATCTATCTATCTATCTATCTCTCTATCTCTCTATATCTACTGGGTCTGTTTAGCTGATTGCATGAAGGCCTTACACTAGCCCAGTTAAAAGTACACCAACCTGGTTATATTGATGGTTATATTATACAAGCTGTGAGGTTTTTTAACCCGTGACAAGGGACAGAAGGGAAATTCTCCTCACAGCAAGGACATGCTCACTTAAGCTTCAGAGAGGTACAAGCCCTCAAAACTCATGGGTGTCCAGCTGATCCTCCACAGCCAGCGCAGTCTTTGTCAGAAAGTGGCACGTGTTGCACTGTTCACCTTGTAGCTGAATATCCCGGATGCTCAATGAGGGCACCACTGCGGGCAAACGATCCCTTGGACAGTAGTTTCCTGGTGTTTCTCTGCTGAATTATTGTATGCATAGAATCCTCAGGGCCAGAAGAAACAGGTCATCACCATTACTTGTATCAGCAAAGGGGTCAAAGTGTGGAGTGTTGCAGGAATCTTAAAGGTTCGTATTAATAAAGCAGGAATCTTAAAAGTTCTTATTAATAAAATAAAACCTGAGCCAAGTATTGGGGTGAACACTAGAAGATCAGAGAACCAGAACAAGCCACAGTTATCCTCACCTGGCCAACTTCTCAGCTGATCTTGTTTCCTCAGACTGGAAGCCTCTGTGTCCTCATATCTGAATGGATCTCAGCTGAAATGTGCTGCTCAAAACCTAAAAGCTTAACCAGCCAAATGCTTCTAGTTTCTGGTCTTCACTCCTTATATCTTTCTCTTTCTGCCATCACTCCCTGTGATTAAAGGCTCGCTTTCTGGGATTAAAGGCATGAGTCACCATGCTTGGCTGTATCCTTGAACACATGGATTTCTGCCTCTGGAATGCTAGGATTAAAGGCGTGTGCTACCACTGCCTATCTTCTATCTTTAATATTGTGGCTGTCCTGTTTTCTGATCCCAGATAAGTTTATTAGGGTACACAATATTTTGGAGAACACAATACCATCACAGTAGAGGTTCTAGCCAGTAGGCATATTGCTTGTGGAAGGTGGCTGCTGGTGGAGAGGGCCAGTATATCCAGAAGCTAGGGGGACTGAGAAGGAAGATGAGTCCTTGGAGATGGCTCAGTGACAGGGGTAGTTTTTTTTTTTTTTTTAAGTTAGTGGATGAATTAGTTTCCTGTTGCTGCTATAACAAGTTACATGATCTTAGAGCAATGGTTCTCAATATTCCTAATGCTATGACCTAATGCTATAATACAGTTTCTCATGTTGTGGTAACCCCCAACCATAAAATTATTTCATTGCTACTTCATAACTATAATTTTGATACTCTTATGAATCATAATGTAAATATCTAATGTATAACCCCAAAGGTTCATGACCTACAGGTTGAAAACATCTGAGATTTACAACAATACAAACTCATTACCATACAGATCTCAGATCAACAGCCCGATGCATCTCCCTGAACTAAACAAAATAAAGGGCTCTCTTTCTTTCTCCAGGTCCTAGGAAAGCATCCTTTTCCTGACCTTCAGCAGATTCCAGAAGTCACTCACGTTTGATTGGGTCCCTTTCCCCATCTCCAAGGTCAGCAGCGTCGTCTCTCTCTGTCTTTTCTCGTTGGACACAGCTCTTTGCTCATTCTTCTCACCGTCCAGCAAGGACTGCTGTGAACAGCAAGGCAGGCAGTGTTCCAAGCTTACCGCTTCATTTCACAGGGTCTCCATGAGCACACGGAGAAGCCAAGACTGCTATTCAGGTTTCCCCATCCTTGTGGGAAAGAAACTAGGGCACAGAGAGGAAAAGTTGACTAGGTCGCCAAGGCCACTCACTCAGCTGTAGTGTAGTTGTAAAGGGATTCGATGGTGTTATTCCCACGCCTGGTCTGAGGCTTCCCCCTTAGTAAGTTCTCTCTTTGGAAAGAGGTGGTAGCTGGAGCTTTAAAACTTTCGAGGGAAGAGAAGCCGAGACTGAGAGGCTGATTCTGCGGGAGCTGTGGCCATCCTGTGGTCCCAGGTCCCCCCCGGAAGCTGCCAAAACAGGAGAAAAACAAACAAACAAACAAACAAAACCCCTCTGTCAGAGGATGTTTCCATTTGGGGAATTCTGGGCTTGAAGCTGTCTAGGCAAGACTTCCTGAATCACAGAGTGAATACACATGCAGGACGGCCTGACACTGTCCATTCATTGGTCATGGGATGGGCTGGGGACTGTGTGAGGAGAAAAGAGTTCTTAAAGAAATGGGGTGTGATAGAACACATCTGACATGGACTGGAGAGATGGCTCAGAGGTTTAGAGCTCTTGTTGTTCCTTCAAAGGATGTGGGTTCAGATTTCAGCACCCACTTGGTAGCTCATAACTGTCTATAACTCCAGTTCCAGGGGATCTGACTCCCTCTTCTAGCTTCCGTGGGCACTAGGCATGCACGTGGTATACATACATACATGCAGGCAAAGCACTCCTTCACATAAAAAGACAATTTTTAAAATGAGAGAATACATGTGGCATGAAAGAAAAAAAAGGGATTACTGGGGTAGGAAGGTACAAGTTGGGAGGCAAGAGATTGGGGGAGAGAATCAGGGGAAGAGGATCAATTAAAACAATGTATTATAAAAAGTGCCATAATGAAATGGACTACTTTGTATGCTAATTGGAAAAGTAGCCATTTGTTTTTTAAAGAGGCCCTAAAGCGACAGAGTGGGCAACAAGGAACAGTGGTGCTAAGTGGTGGGGGCAGCGAAAGCTTGCTCATGAGAACCCGGTGCTTTTATCAGCCTACCCCAAGTTTTAATTAGAGCCGGGAACCTATGTCATCTCCCTGGCTAAAGACCGACAGGGTTCTGCTAAGGGAGATGAAGCAGTGCTCTGAGGGCGTCTCACACCCCAGCAGCTGGGCAACAGCAGCCACGGAGCTCAGTGAGCTGAGTACGTGACGGTCACATTCTCACACACTCCCCTGCCTGTCTTGTGTTCTGCAGACAGGATCCTGATTTCTCACTAGAAGCAACTAGAGTTACCATTTGTTGGGGGCAAGCGAGGAACAGGGGAATTTTGCAACTGAGGCAGATGAGACGTGGCAGGGAAAAGATTGACTCGTCAACACAAGGAGGTGGGGACAGACGAAGGGTACCCTTGCATTTTTATTCTCTAGGCACGGCCCCAAAGGTGCACTTGTTGCTCAGTGTCGTGCAAACAGACCTCCTTCTGCTCTCAGCAGCATCCCTGGTCCCTGGTAACATGTCTGATCACCCTCCGATGGTGCTCCACGGGAGCTTCGCAGAATAAGTCCTCACTACAGAATTCTTTGTGTTTCTTTTGTATCTGTCTCTAAAGTGAGGAGGACAGAATGAATCAGCTACTGAGAGCATCATGGCATGCTAGCACAGAAAGGAAGTACTAGCATTGTCCGGAGGAAAGTAAATAAACTGGAAAAGTCTCTATGTTACATCTAGTATAGCTCAGGCATGTAACACTAACAGCTTCAGTTATCAATAAAAGTACCAGGAAGGGTGTTAAGTGTTATTTGCATCCCACTAAAGACAAGAACCGGGGAAGTGGCATGTGCAAGGTCCTAGGTTCAATCCTAGCTCCACCAAACAAAAATACAAAGATTGGGTGATTTTCAAGGGAGCTCAAAGTCAGACACTCCACTGGTGGGGCTTCGCCTCCTGCCAGCCTGTGGTCCACCATGTAGCTACTCTAGGCTACCTCCTTTATTCTGATAGTGCATGGACAAATTGAACAGTCATGTGCACCTGTTCTCGCAGAGTTAGGGCCCCGAGGATACAGCCATCAGAATTCCCCACCAGCACAGTATCCTCCTGAAGGATCCAGGGTCCTCACATACCTGCAAACACAGTTTTCAGAATCAAGCTTGGAATGTGAAGCGCCAGGCAGTGACTTAGGCCTCACTGGGGCCCCCAATGGGAAGGATGGAATTCAATGGTCTTTTTCCTTCCTCAGTTTCCCCTTCTCCTCCAGCACCTCACCACCAAATCAGCCTGGTGCAGCAGCGCTGTCTCTCTGCTTGCAGTGCTGTGTCTCTGCTTGTGGTGCTGTGTCTCTCTGTTTGCAGTGCTGTCTCTCTGTTTGTAGGTGCTGTGTCTCTGCAGTGCTGTGTCTCTGCTTACAGTGCTGTGTGTCTCTGCTTGCAATGCTGTGTCTCTCTGCCTGCAGTGATGTGTGTCTCTGTTTGCAGTGCTGTGTCTCTCTGCTTGCAGTGCTGTGTCTCTGCTTGCAGTGATGTGTGTCTCTGCTTGCAGTGTTGTGTGTCTCTCCTTGCAGTGTTGTGTGTCTTTCCTTGCAGTGCTTATCTCTGTGAGTGCTGTGTCTCTGCTTGCAGTGCTGTGTGTCTCTGCTTACAGTCCTGTGTGTCTCTGCTTACAGTGCTGTGTGTCTCTGCTTGTAGTGCTGTGTGTCTCTGAATGCAGTGCTATGTGTCTCTGTTTGCAGTGCTATATCTCTGTTTGTAAGTGCTGTGTCTCTGCTTGCAGTGCTGTGTGTCTCTGCTTGCAGTGCTGTGTGTCTCTGTGTGTCTCATTGCTTACAGTGCTGTGTCTCTGTGCTGTGTGTCTCTGCTTGCAGTGCTGTGTGTCTCTGAATGCAGTGCTATGTGTCTCTGTTTGCAGTGCTGTGTCTCTGTTTGCAGTGCTGTGTCTCTGTTTGCAGTGCTGTCTCTGCCTGCAGTGCTGTCTCTCTCCTTGCAGTGCGCATTTGAAGAAGACCCTGTATCACAGACACAGCATCAGACTCACTCTGCTCCTTCATTACTGGAGAACAACATGTGCAAACATAGGCGCATCCATCATGTTAGGAGAACCAAAGGAGAAGGGTTGCGAAGCTGCGTGGATGTGACTGGCAAGACCTGCTCTGGGTGCGCCTGGTACTCAGCTGTAGGAGTCCTGGAAACTGTGTCTCTTTTGGCATCAGAACCCACACTCTACCACTGGCTTTCTGTGGGGCTTTCAATAAGCAGGTACGCTTCCTTCGCCCTTCTTTTCCATTTGCAAAGTGGGTGCACATGCCAGATTCCCCTCTTGGGCAGTGGCTGTGAGAGTTACATGGTATAATGAATAAAGGCCCACTGACCATTTCTTCTCTCCAAACCGTGCCCGGGAAGCGGTGGTAGACATTCTCGGTGCTTCGACTTCACCTAAAACATTCACCAGTCCCTGATCTTGTTACTCTTCTTAACCTCAGACCTTCCTTTCACAATGAGAGGCAGCTGGACTGTTTTGATTTTGTGCCAGGGGCTTACATCCCTTCTGCTTTTTATTCTTGTGCTCCATCCTCTGCCCGCTATCCCGTCACGTTCCAGCTGTCCATGAGAGAAAGCTAAGGTTTCTCATCTATTAGGCAGGGAAGCTTGCTCCCTCTCTCTTGCCCCTGCATACATCCACCCACCTTTCCTGTCACTTGGGGAGTTTTTTTCTCTGTGACATACTTATCTGAGTTCAGGCAACTAAAGCGAAAAACAGGACAGAGAAGAAGTGGAGGTTTGGCAGGAAGTCCAAATAAGCACTTCCTCCCATTCACCTTGAACTTCTGAGGTACCTCAGTTGAACAGCAAAGCAAGAGAATCAAAGCAAGGAGACTTGAAAAAAAAAATGAAGAATGAAATTGTCAGCCACAAGGAAGTGGAAAATATTACTTACTGGTCCTTGCCTTGCCTAGGGCAGCTCACTCATATTTTCCTCCTGTGTTATCCATGGATGGGGGAGGTGAGACCAGTGTCCAGGACGGGTAGGAGGGAGCTCTCAGAGACTGTGGAGATAGAGTGAATGTTACCAGAGGACGGGCCGGGATGGGGCTGTGCAAGCCCATTTTTACCGTCTCCTAGTCTACAGTCCCAAGGAGTGCTAGCAAGTACTGGTCCTCCCCGGGCATCAGTGGCTGGATTCCTGCCTCCTATTCCCTGAACTTTTTGGAAGGTATTCTTTGTTCTGCACCACAGTGTGGGGTGCCAGGTACAGTGCAGGACCCTCCGGTGACTCTCCTCCATTGGATCCTCCGATCACTCGCTTTTTGTCACCCAGGATGATCCCAGGAACAGGTACCATCTCCGCTGCCTGCCTCTAAGCATGGCTGGGGTGGGGGGAACTTCCCTTAGCCTCTGCCCTAAGAAGGGCAACATATTCTCATGCGTGAAGTCTCTACTTTCCTCTCTTCTCTGGCCCTAGTGTGACAATTCTCCAAGATCCTCCTCCACAGCACACGCAGGAGCAGCAGCTCCCCAGCCAATTTTCTCACCTCTAAAACCAGTCAGTAAGAAATGTGGTTATCACCTCTGCCATGTGATTCTGCTGTGGGGTAGAGGAAAAGGGTGGGTGCTGCAAATCTAGGCTTGGTGAAGGGAGGGAGGGAGGGAGGGAGGGAGGGAGGGAGGGTTCAGCCTCCACTGTCTCTGTCCCGATGTTCCAACAGTCAGACAAACTGCAAGCATCGCTTTCTTTCCCACAGCTTCTCAATCCCCATTCTATGAGCCCCCGCCACTGTCCCTGGCTCAGTGCTGTCCTCGTGTTGTTCTTACCTGACCTTGAGACATATGGTGGGTCCTCTGTGTCTGCAGACTCTATATCTATGTGTTCAAACAACAGCAGATGGGAAATATTTTTAAAAATTTGATCCACACTGAATGTGGATAGAGTTTCTTTTCCTTGCCATTATTCCCTAAACAACAGAGTATCACAGCTACAAACATAACAGTGGTATTCTTAGGTATTATCAGTCTGCTAGAAATGGCTCAAAGTATGTGAGAGGGTGTATACATATTATGTATAAGAACTGTACCATTTTATATAAGGAACTTGGGCTCAGACAGATTTCAGTACCTATGAAAGATTCCGGAAGCAATCTCTTGCTTTGGCCAACTTTTCAACTTGTTCCTTTGTAAACACTGGGTTTCTCTACCTGGTTAAGGTCAAAAGAGATGAGGTGGGACCAGTTGCCCCATCAAAGAGGCTTCCTTGATTCTACTTCTGGGCCTTGGCTGGTCCCCACCTGCTACTCTGCTTCATGCTCAAAGCCAACAGAATGATACCTTGATGTGAATTGAGGTCTTGCCATCCTGGTACCACTGCTGTCTCGGGATAAATGCAAAGGCCTGCCCATTTGACATGTAAAGAGACCTAGTCTGGAACAAGTGAGATGACATACTGCCACACATTGTCCTGGGTTCCTGAGAGCTGCTCTTCAGAGCTGCCCTGCCTTGGGAGTTTCTAGAACACAGGAGATGTGAAACCTAAAATTATTGGGAAATCACCCAGAGTAGGAAGAGGACAGTCTTCAGGCCTGAGGCAAAACACTTCCCCTTTCATAATCTGATCTCTCTTTGCCCTGATGCTTTATCTGAGGTATGGGTCTGTGGTCCACTGGGCAGGGACCAATTTGAAAAACATTTCAGATCAGCAACTCACCAGCTTTTTGTGGGCTGCAGACCATAAGCTGTACCCGTGAACACAGGGGCTACTGTACCGGCTCTCCAGACAGACCTAGTTTGAACCCTGACTCTGTTCTGGGCATTGTCAAAACATGCCAGAACCTTGAGGAGGCAAATGGTAAGGGACAGTGGCTCTGGACTCAAGCACACTCTTGACAAGACCAGGATGTACAACCTCCTTGAGGGAAATAGGGAGCAAGCAAATGGTCCCCATGGATTGTTCATCTTTGGCCACTTTTTTATTGGATAATTTTTTCCAAGGGGTGTCATATTTAACAATATTTTTATTCTATCTTCTGCTTTTCTGTTGTTGGTTTTTACCTTGAGTTGGGGCAACAATATTAAAAAACCACAATGCTGACCTCCCAAAAAACTCACTATTGCTTTTACTTTTAAGAATGATCTGGAATGTTCCTTTCCACAGAACTTCTCTATTTTGAGGCTTTGATGGATTGATTGAGGTTCAGAATCCTCACCTATCCACTCCACCCTCCAAGGCCCTGCCTAAAGCCCAGTTCATCCCATGATGTCTTCTTTACTCTACTTGAATGTGATTTCTCTCCACGATAGCTGCCATGTTGCTGATTTGAAAAAATGAAGTAATGTCTCTCACTAGTCGGGGAGCTGTGGGGCAGCAGGGCAGTGGCTCATTGGGCATTATCAGTTGTTGAACACTTGATGTTGAGCTCTTAATCCTGGGTTGATGCCTCCTGCAGATCACCACCATGGACCACTTTCCAGGGCTAGGTCTGGTGCTTCATCTGTAATCTCATTTAAGCTCACGAGCCGGTAATGAGACAGCTACTAGAGGCAGCGGGGCTTCCTGTAGTGTGCATAAAATGGAAAGCATTCATGGCTAAAGCTACCATTGAAAAAACTTCAGGAAGAGCACCTCAGGCGGCAACAGAGCATTGTTCAAACACTGGAATAGAAATCTGTGCACATGTGTGAGTCTGTGCATTCCCATATGTGCAGGCATGTATGTATGTGCATGTACATATGGCACACTGGCTAACTTGTGTTTACAGGTTGCCATATTGCACCAGATATATTTGCTTTTAGCCTCAGGTCCCACTCACTGCCAAGGATCGTTTCAGTCCATGAGATCTGTTCAGAGTCGGAGACTGAAGGAGGATGCAACAGATCCCCATCTCCTATCTCCAGGGAAAATACTCTTTGGCTAGATATATGGTGGACTCAATAGCGAACGGGAGAAACGATAGTGGACAGAAGATGAAGAGAGGAAGCACGGTGTATAGAAGGTGGTGTGCCATCAATAGTAACAATTCTTTAAACTTCATATCAGTGCGTTTGCCTAGTAAATGCATCCAGGCTGTATGTGTATAACACCTCTGTTTTCCTGCCTTGTAGGTATGGGAACTAGTCACCTAGACTGTCACTGAAGGGACTCACGCTGGCCCAAACACGGCAAACATGGCTCTGGCAGGCCTTGCCTTTCTCCCCCATTCCCTCTGCCTTGCTAAAAACTGTTAGATTACATTCCTAAAGCTAGGGCCATTTCCTCCTCCTGTGGCTGACTACCGTGGTCCAGCTATCAAAGTCTTGAAGTCCAGCAATCAAAAGCCCCCTTTGGTTCACCTAATTAACATGCCCAGTTAAAATTAAACAGCTCATCCTAACACAGCGTTTCCCCTTTCCCTCTATAAACCGCCATTTTCCTATAGACCAGGTCTGTTTCCTCTCTATCCAGAGGCCATCCTTTGTCCCCCTCTGAAATAAGCACCCCTCTGCTCTCTCCCTTCTCCCTCACCTCTATCTCAGTCTTTGCCTTATATTCCTCCTCTTTGTCCCTTTGGGGTAGGCATATATGCTTCGTCCTGAGAACTTGGTCTTGGGGTGTCCTGAGCTGATCCCTTCAGTCACTCCATGCCCAAGACTACAGTGCAGAAACATTCATATCAGGAACGGAGCTGGTCCGCTGCACTGTAGCACCCTTCGCCACTTGGAGCCTAGCTCACCAAAGATCCACTCATCATAACACAAAGAAGCAGCTGAGGGCGTCTCAGCTTTCGATAAAAACAAACTGGGGTGGGGGGAGGTTGGAAAACACGAAGAGACCATCTTCCTTCCCCCACAGTTCACTAGTGGATGAAATTATAGATAATTTTAGGGAACTGTCAAAAGAGGCTCTTATCTGTATAGTCCCTGTCATGCAGGAATGTGGTGTCCAGCTTTGGGTGTCTAGAATTCGGGTGGAAAAAAACTACTTGAACTGAGTTTAAGTCCCCATTTGGCTGGGGTGTCTGGGCCAGTGGGGAATTACCAGTCTCTCTCTCTCTCTCTCTCTCTCTCTCTCTCTCTCTCTCTCTCTCTCTCTCTCTCTCTGCATTGTGAGCTCACAGAGCTGGTCTTCCTTGTTTACTTATTTAGAAGTCAGCAGAGGAAGTGGTAAAGGAAACTAGCTGAGTCGTTTTCTGAGAAGAGACCATATTTGTTCACAGGGGAAGCCACCGCTTCTTGGGATCTGGCTACAGCAGAAACGACGCCTGTCCAACAAGGGTGTTTCTGAGCATAGTTGGGATTCGAAAGAGCCAAGGACACCTCGGAGTTCTGGATCTGGGTTTTTTCTCTGTTCATGGCTGCAGCAGCTCTCCTCAGCTTGTGAGCTTCTCCCTGAACAGCAGTCATGGCCTTAAAGAATGTGCCCTTTCGCTCAGAGGTTTTAGCCTGGAACCCGGACAGCCTCGCTGATTATTTCAGAAAGGTGAGTCTTTCACTCTTGTGCTTCTGGTTGGGCTGGTATGCCTTCAGTGGGGTGGGCAGAGAGCAGAGGCGGAATCAGGACAGAATATGGAAGGTGTACAAGATAGCCTCAGAGTTACCGTTACCACCTGCAATTGCTACCTTACTGGGAGGCAGACAGACTACTGAGCTTTCCAGGCAGTGTGTCCAGAAGAGAAAGATAGGGGAGGGGACCCTCACGTGCATAAGCCCCTAGTACATACAGACATGCATGTAGTGCTCTACAGACTGTGTCCTATTAGACACAACCCACAGTAATGTGAGTTCCGTGTTACCGCGTTAATGATATGCACTAACAGTGTTGCATCTCAATGTCAATATTTTGTTCAGCTGAAGAGTCAGCTCAGGGAGTTTGAGTGATCCCAAGCTCTTGAGTCTTATGTGATTGGGTTGGATTGCAGTTGTGCCTACTTAGCTTTAAAGCACATGCTCTGAAATGCAGAAAATGGCTATACTGAAGTCTACTCACTAGAAAAGGAGATGTGGAGTCCCAGAGTAGGAAAATGAACAGGCAGGGCAGGAGGGATGGACAGAGGGTTAGATGAACGACGATATTTGGGCATCCACTGTTCATGATCCTGGAAGAGGGCTAGTGTCTTTTTATTGGTTGGAGTCTCACTGGAGCTTTATGAGAATCCTTGAAAGCAGGCCAGAAAGCAGACATGAGCCTCAGGATAGTCAGCAACACAAAGAATGAGCTCAGCAGACTCAGAAATCAAGATGGCCACAGTGTTACTGTCCTGCCTTCAAGGCTGGGAGGAGATGGTCAAGGGTCCTTGTTTGGTTATCTGCTAACGAAGACCACATGTCTGCTTAGGTATATCCCAGGACACATGACTCCTCTAAGGCAGCCGTACAGAAGAGGTAGGAGGGCTTATGAAAGACATGGGCTTCCATTGTCCGCATGCCTGCAGACTGTCCTCCAGTTCCACTCATATTCCAGGCAGTGATGAAGATGAGGACCTAAAGCTAAGACCATAGAAATCATCTGCTTTGCCGTCTATTGTTTCTGAAGAAATGGGGACCCAAAGGGTAGAAGAGGATCCTTGGGGCATAATCAAACCTATAATATATACAGTGGTTCCTTCCCAACCTACAGAAGAAAATGTAAGCATTCTGTATTAACGAGG